AATCATAATGTATATGAAGATTTCTTACTGCTACCCACCGAGTGTGCAGCTTTGGAACTGCCAAATGCAGATTGCTGGCTACAGCTTACCACAGTCAAAATTGGGATGAAAATTTATAAATTTATTTCAGGTACTTCTATAGCGCCATCAATTTACACAGCGCTTTTACATACATACATACATACATATATTACATTCACATCAGTCCCTAACCCTCAAGGGGCGTACAATCTAAGGTCCCTAACTCACATTCATACATACACATACTAGGGCCAATTTTAGACAGGAGCCAATTAACCTACCAGCATGTCTTTGGAGTGTGGAAGGAAACCGGAGTACCCATAGGAAACCCTCGCAGGCACAGGGAGAACATGCAAACTCCAGGCAGGTGGTGCCGTGGTTGGGATTCAAACCAGCGACCCTAGTACTGCCAGGCGGAAGTGCTAACCATTTAGCCACTGTGCTGCCCATAAATTTCTTTTGATTGGCATAATAGTGATTTAGACAGCTGTCCACCATTGAGTCAACTACTTGATTGCTACACACCCTTAAACATCTTTCTACTTTCAAGCAATCTGCTATGGAAAAAAAAAAATCAAATGGAAGCCATTAAACGCTAACCTAGCATGTGACTAAACGTTTTGCAAGAAGCCATCTGACCTGCCAGCTTGCAGCTTTATAGAAGTGCCTTTTAAGACAAAACAAACTCGTGTGAAGAAACTCCAAGTGGGAGATTTTATAACGAGATTGTAAAGTAAGGAGATGGAATCCTGGACATACGTTTAATGGGGTTTTTATGTTACCCCGTTGATTGTGCGAGCTTCCTTCAATGGCTCTGGTTTCTTTGCACAAGTTTGGGGAAACAGGGACAGCACTGCATGCATATGGAAAATAAACCTGGCCTTCAATTGTCAAACTTTTCCCTCAAGTGACAGAATGTGCCTTGATTTTTGCACTTTTTTCATGGAGTAATCATACCTGGGGTGGACTGACAACTCATGGGGCCCCTGGGCAATAGGGGATCAAGGGGCCCCTGTGTCCTTGCCCAAACTCAAAAAAGCCTATGAAAAAGGTACCAGGGGCATCTCATGGGGCCCCCTACTGACCCTGGGCCCGAGTTTCCAAATGGTCAGTCCGCCCCTGAATCATACCTTTAACGATTGATTCTCTAATAATGAGTACACTCCAGTGGGTACAGGAAATAGTTTCTCGCTGTGGGGTTGAGCATTTTAAATTTAGCATTGCTGTAGTGCAGTACACAGAGTTCTTTGTTAGAATATTTGGGAACCTCTTACTTACCAGTTAAGAACGCATGAGATTCCTAAACACACGCGAATGCAGTCTTATATTCAGAAATCGTATAAAAAAAAAAAAAGAAAGGTAAAAAAAAGTTAAAGTTTCTCATGGCCATCAGATTCCAACCAGCCTTTGAAATTAGACTGTAATGACTCAGAGAGGAAGGTAAAAATCACAGGCTTCGGACCCCCCCGTACTCTGCAATGAAACAGAGCATCACTGATGGAAGCCTATCATTTAGCAGTCATGTGTTTCCTCTAACTTTAGTATAGTTGGAGTTACTCACCTATTAACAAGTGTGCAGCATGTGAAGATAGAAGTCCTAATCTGCGTACATATTTCAGGTATATCAAAAAGTTGATATAAAAAAATGGACTTTGCTCATTACCTCAACCCTGCAAAGTTGTCTTTACTCAAAAAATGTAGATAAATTGTGTATCCAAAAATATACAAATGCAGACAGATATTTTTAAACATGTAACTTCTATTTGATTAAAAACAAAAAACACACTAAACACAAAAAATACCCCCATTAATATCTGAAATATCAAAAGACCAGTGATATATCCCCAAATTCTATCTATATATCTGGGATTTGAATATTAAAAGTAATCTTTGAATTGAATATACAATCAACACAGAGCTCTCAGAAAGAAAAGGGACTCTGATGCCTCTGATGCAGCCGGGTGGGTCCAGCAAACCGGTCAGGCCAAATCACTAGCCATGTCGGGACCAGTGCTGGATCACCTTATGGATTGAGAAGTAAATCACACTATGGAAAAAACAAATTCTAGAACCGTCTTCAATCTATAATCCAATTTGGCCAAAGCCATTGAATTGAACCACATTTTAAACTCCTGCCCTGACGGTTTGGTCAAAAGGACACGCATGGCATATGCACAGGAAAAGGAAGCTTGAATTCTTATGGTTCATCATGTTGGATTTTCACTTTGAGTCCTGGATCTACACTTCATTACATGTGTTTACAAGCCTAATTTGGGCTTGTGTGGAAGCTTCTGTAACGGCAGTTAATTGTGCGAAGGAGGTTGATGGACATGTGGAGTTGACCCATGTTAATATACATCTCTTAAAAAAAAATCTTCATAAGAATTCTGTCACCTCCTCTGGACCACATCCAGTTGTCCCTAGTACCGGTATATGGAAGCTTGTGCTCACAAATATATATATACATATATATCTTCATTTGTATCCGAAGCTTTCAACACAATTATAATCACTGTGATTTTGAGTGCAAGATATGTTGCAATCAGTTGGGCTTTCTAGCCCACAAAATATTGCCAAGTTTTTATCATCATTTACACCATTTACATATCTTTGGTTGACAATATTAGGGATGGACTGTGTGAAGTGCCCAGCATGCTGCCAAATTCAATTACTTTGTGGCCGTTCTCTTAGTTGTATGCCTTATGACCACCCTAGGGGCCACTCAGTGCAGCGCTCCGTGACCCAGTGTGTGAACAGAGATCATTGCACCGGCCCGGTGCCTTTTCTAATTTCTTTAAACTGTCCCTTCTCTTTCTGCGAGCTTTCAGTGTCGATTGAATATTCGAAGTAATCTTTGAATTGAATATACAAATACCAGATATATACATAGAATTTGGGGATATATCACTGGTCCTTTGATGTGTCTTGTCAGATTTTAATGGGTATATTTTTTGTGCTTTATGTTTAGTATGTTTTGGTCTTTTTAAGCAATAAATAAAATTTATGTGTTTAAAAATATCTGTTGGCATTAGTGTATTTTTGTATACACAATTTATCTACATTTATTGAATAAAAGACAACTTTGCAGGGTTGGGGTACTGAGTCCATTTTTTATAGCAACTTTTTGATATAACGGTTTTATGGTGGCTCCTTCCCCTTTGGTGAACATAAAAATATTAAATATGGGACCTGGTAGAAATCAGTAATTTTTTTTTTTTTTTTATTTCTTTTGATACATATTCCAGGCTAGTGACTCAAAGCATTGACAACACTGAATCCAATGACAGAAAACTACTTAGCAAAGGCAGCCCCTGCATTTTTTTTTTTCAAGAACATATACTTTGTCCTTTTTTGCCCCTCTGTCCTGAGCTAAACAACCCCCTTTCCCAGATGCATACTAACCTCCATGCCGCAGCCGCTAGTGTATGTATACATCCTTGGCGAACGTTTTCTGTGCACTGGCCTTTTGACTTCTTTCTATGTGGCAGTCTCCCAAGTTTCTCCAGTCAGCTAGTGCTCAGAATTCTTTTGAGAAGGGATATAAACAAACACAGGACGCCACAGTATGGAGGGGAAGTATGCATCTGGAATAATTCTAAATATTTTTGTATTTATGGTACAGGCCCATAACTCTTGCAATGCAACTGACATTTTTTGTCAAAATCATCCCACGCATTAAAACACAAAGTCCAAAAAAGACAAACACAAACTGCTTATTTTAAAAATATTACTTTTATTGTTCTGTAAGGAGTTGTAGGAGGTGCAGGAATGATAGAAAGATGCTGCCCCCTGACATTTCTCCTGGTGGGCCGCTGGTATAAAAAGATGAGACAAGGAATGTTACAGACTTTGTGGTAACAATCAGCAACCTTTATTTAGAAGAAAAAAAAAAAAAAAAAAACTGCAAATATAAGGTTTTGCTAGGTGAATATATATTTATATCATAAATCCCCCTAAATTAAGTAAATAGTAACCCTCTTAAAGTTTTATTATAATTTTTTTTTTTTGGTCCTTAGGGAAAAATAAAAACCTTGACAGGGCCAGAAAAGCGACAAGAAAAAAATAGAGCATTCTCATGATGTGATGGGAAGTTCAGGAATGTAGAAAAAGGGATGTATACCAAGGAAAAGAAGTCCGTCACCAAAATATTATGCAAATTGTGGAATGTATTGATACATCATAATGTGTTTTGGTCACCAGGAGGTGAGAGAATGCAGCAGGAATGTCGGTCTAATGTCTGGACTCTATATCATTATACCAAACATGGTTGTTAAAAAAAGTGGAATGACATGATTCCCCCTGGCGTGTTGTGGGTTCTTGTAACAGATCTTATAATATAATACCAGCTGCCTCTGATAAGCAGAAAAAAAATAAAGGTGCCCCCCTTCTGGAAATCTGTGATAAAATAGCTGAGGAAGGTGAAGCACCCCCCGTTAATGGATCTCTCCCCTGCCTGCAGTGTGGAGCCCTATATGTTGTGGTGTCGCCAAAACAATGTGGCACAATGAAACGGTGATGAACAAGGTAAGAACAGAAGCCGGAATGGATAGGAACCCTGTGTGGCAGAGGCTAGGACCAGGCACCTCACACAGGGGCTTTTAGGACCAGGAATAAATAACCCAAGGGAGGGAGGGAGGGGTCTGGAGAATCTGTACAGGGTGCAAATATGAAAGGTTACCCAGAAGCGCAGTCTACGTGCCAGCGGTGTATGGAAGCACCCCCCTGCCCCTTAGCCGTTGCATAGATAGCTTTGCAGAGGGGGGAGGAGCGGTCCTGCAGCTTCTAGTCTGCCTTCTCCTCCCTCCTTGCAAAGGGAATGATAAGCTCATTTGATTCCCTCCCTCTCTCCCCCCTGATAGGGGGATGCCAGTAAAGGCCAGCATCCCCCCCAGTCCCTCCGGAGCTTCACCCCTTCAGCATCAGAGGCATTAGTAGCTGATGAAGGGCAGTAGGGCAGTGTTGATCTTTCCCCATCATGCTCACAGGTCACTCTCGCCATACAATGCAGTAGAAAAGGACATGTAATCCAGAGCTCCAGGCACAGCATTGGGACCGTGGTAGGGTGCCATGCGAGAGATGCAATATTCTGCCTGATCTGGTGGCAGCTCCCGACGAAGCTCTGCTGGTGTGATGTAATTCTGTACAGAATTCAAGAAATAAATTAGTACTGATTGCAGAAAAAAAAAAGGCTCAAGCAGGCATCACAATCTACACAACCTATGGACGACGAGAGCGCAGAGCCCAGCATTTCTGAAACTTTGAGCCGAGAATATTGCACCTTATCACAATATTCTAATTTTCTGAGATTGTGGATTTGGGGTTTTCATGAGCTGTAAGCCATAATCATCACAATTATGACAAATCACAGCTTGAACTATCTTGCTTTGCATGTAATGAGTCTCATATATTTTACCTTTTAAGTTGCATTACTGAAATAAATGAACTTTTACACGATATTCTAATTTTTCGAGTTTCACCTGTATATTGCCAAAAGTATTGGGATGCCTGCCTTTGCAAGCACATGTACTTTAATGGCATCCCACTCTTAGTGCATAAGGTTCAATAATGAGTTGTCCCATTATGGGCTTCAATGGCTGAATACAGCAGGCACTGAACATCAGTCTGAGATGGTTCTGAGATCATTCAGAAACCAATGCAGGTGCATTTGACCTGCTTCAAGCTGATTTTGCATTCTTAGACTTGTATAAAGAAGCAGTTGAAGCCAAGAATTACAAAACCACATCAACGCTGGCCCTAGAGCTGCCCTACACTACTACACTGGGCTACTTCTTAAAGCAGAACTAGATATGAACTACGTATGAGAAAAGATATCTTTGACTTTTTGCTATAAAACCTATCCAATAAAAAAAATTAAAAAAATAAAATTTCTTTATAAATTTCGGCAAAAATGTATTCTGCTCCATGTCTTTGCTAAAAAACATCCCAATACATGTAAATTAATTGGTTTACTTGAACGTTTTAGTGTCTATAAATGGTGGTATATATACTGGAATTTTTATATTTTTTTTTATACTGGTAGTGACAGCGATCAGCGACTTCTATCGGGACTGCAGCAGGCATTCTGACACTGGTTGGGAACTAATGGTCACTGACATCTCCAGGGACACTAATACAGTGATCAGTGCAAATAAAAAGCACTGACACTGTATAATGACACTGAGCAGGAAGGGGATAACATCTGGTGCAATCAAAGGGCTAACTGTGTGCTGTGTGCCATTTTACTTGGGAGACCTGCTGCTGTGCAGAGAGAGAGAAAGCAGCATGTCCATGCTGACAGGAGAGAGATCTGTGTTGTTTACACACAGATCTCTCCTCTCCTAGCTTTGCAGCGATCAGCCAGTGCCGGCCGAGAATCGCCAGCCAGGACCTGGTGATTGACATCTGCTGCAACCAACTGCAGCGTGTGCCGTGTGTGTGTGTGTATATACACACACACACACACACACACACACACACACATATATACATATATATATATATATATATATACACATACACATACACATACACATACACATACACATACACATACACACACACATACACACACACACACACACACACATATATATATATATATATATACATACACACACACACACACACACACACACACACATATATATACACACATACACACGATTTTGCGAAGAGTGGCCGCCCTGTAGCAGTATGTCTGCTATAGGGCAGTAGGCAAGTGGTTAAAATCTACAGCAATCCACCTAGGTGATCAGCCCAGCCTGTATGCCCCTGTCAAAAGGTAAAACTTTTTACCTATGAAATGCATGAGAAATAAGTACACAGTCCCAGTTACAACTAAGCTCACCTTGTCTCCAGCAAGGACCTTGAAAGATGCAATAACTTGGTCCGCAGTATCCGTGTCTGTGGTCTCCTTTGACATAAAGTCAATGAAAGCTTGGAAGGTTACCATGCCTGAATTATTAGGATCAACGCTTGCCATGATGCGGTTAAATTCTGCGTCACCCTACAAGAAAAGTCCAAGTGAAAGCCCTGTCACACAGTGGAAATACTCAGATGACAGTCACACTGGGAGAAGTCACAGGTGGACACCAGGAGGAACCACGGAGGAACAGAGAAGGGAGGAGCATACCAAGCTGTATCCCGTAGAGATAAGAAGAGCTCGAAAGTCATCCAAGTCCAGAGCAGCAACTCTCTTCTTCTTTACAGAGCAATAAATCAAAGATGGAGAAAAGAGAAGGTACCAGCAAAGAGAGAAAAGTAGGGAATGTTTGATGACAAATAGATAAATTAATTTGAAAAAAAAAAAAAAAAAAAAAGAGGAAAAATTGAGCACCACAGCAAATATAAAGCAAAGAAGGAGGTGGAAAGGTAGGAAGACAGTTTGAAGAAACAAGTGATAGAAAGAGAGAGAGAAAGACAAAGCGACAGTTAGTTTGGGTCTAGTTTGGCAGTTTGGTACCTGTCTGTCATTTTCCACATCATAGCCCAGACTGATGAGACAAGCTTTAAATTCTTCAGGTCCCAGAGCACCCGTATGGTCCTGTGATGGGTAGAACATGATAGGGAAGGGAGCACGTGGGTCCAGAAGGCAAGCGGTGGTGAGCGGGAGACAGTGGCAGTGAAATGACGTGAAGGCGATGGGTGGTGGACGAGATTGATGAAAGAGAAACAGAACATCACGTTACAGAATGCTTAACATGATTAGTAGACTTGAGACAAATGGGAGTGCTGAAAACATGGCTTTCTGGGAAAGGATGGGAAGGAAGAGACACATTAAAGTGTTCATGAAATGGGGATCCTACCATCAGTTCATCCATTTCATATTAGGTCTAAGCTATGTGAAAAACTTCTAGTTTCTAAACTATGGGACAGCAATCACCTCCAACTAGAATCCCACATTCACTAATAAACACATCAATCTCTATGGGAGTTGCAAGACTGGAATGTGTTGCTGCAATTAATCCTGCCCAAATGTTCAATTGCTTGCTATTAACTGCAGGTGACCATTGCAACTATCCCTCATAGTTCACACCTGTGCAGTATAATACAACTGTCCACAATCCGAATTCCTCATACTATACATATGCAAAAATCATTAAGGATACACAGAAGCACTCAATCATTTGCTACCCTGTAAACTAAATATTACTAGCAGTGCTTGTGTAAATGCTGTATTGCTAAGACTTGCTTCTTCCTGCTTCTAATCTTAGGAAACTGATGCTCACCTTGTCAAAGTGGTTGAAGGATGCTCTGAATTCGTGCATTTGTTCCTGAGTGATACCCTTGGCATCCCGTGTTAGAATTTGATTCTCCACCTCGTTGATGGTTCTAGCAATGGTGGTGAGGAGATGTTCCCAGGCGACACGAACGTGCTACAAGAAAAAGATTTGGTTAACAAAAGAAAGTTAAATCAGACACATTCGAATTCTTCAATCCAGTCAAGCCTCACCTCCATGGTGTAGTTGGTGTGCTTGTTATCAAAGATCAGGGCTTCCTGAATGAGCTGGTGCTGTTGCTCCAGTCTGTCTATGTTAGGCTTGTGGTTTATGACGCTCTGTTCGTACTGCTTCAGATGGCTCATCTGGACCTCCAGAGTGCCATGCAATTCAATGGCAATCCTTCCAACCTCCTGCAGACGTGAAAGAAAGCAGTGATTAGCTGAAACAAAGACACAATCACCCCCGCCACTTAGAGGATAGAGGGGCACAAACTGACAATTTTCCTGCAGTTGTTATATATTTACTATAATAAATTAAAAGCTTTTTGACACAAAGCTACATCATCTTGTTAGTTATGATGGTTTATCAACATCTTGTTTTTGAAAAAGAAATGGCCTAAAAACAGCAAATTTGTCAATACTGTAAAATCCTTTACATGGAGTTTGAGGGACAGAGAAATGGTAGAATATAGGACATCCTAAAGCCCCAATGAGGGGAAGGCAACACAAACACAATGCCATCAGCCATTGTACCAGCAGATTAAAGAGCTACCTGCAGGACCTTATGTCCAAAGGCTGCATATGAAGAAGCAGGAAAATCCACCCAGTAAATAATGTGAACAGTAGACACGGTGGCAGCATTGTAACCTGGGAAACAGACGCATGATACCTATTACCCCATAAAGCACTCACACATCTGATGGAGCACACTGACTGGAAAATATGAAACCTTATCCTAAATTTGGGGTAGGCCTGAACAATGGAGCTGCCTGAGCCAATGAGAAATAGTGGAATAAGAAACAGGCTCCCTCGTGGGGTCCTTCAGGAATAACAGTGAGTGAAAGAAGATGTAGCTGAGGGAAGGACAGTGAGACAGCAGAACAATGTCCTGATTCAAGTGGAAGCTGGGGAACACCTTATGCAGACCGTAGACAGGTTATCGGCCGAATTTTTGTCCGCACGAAAAATCGGCAGATATTCACGCCGTTAGTGGGGCCAGCCATCGGCCGTTTTTTGCGGATTTTCTCATTTAGTATTATTGGTCATGCTGGAAAATCCACGAAAAACGGCCGTTTTTCATGGACATTGGTGGCAGCATCCCAGCCAGCAAAGACCGATTTTTCGTTTATGGCCAGCCTTAGGAAGAAAAGGGGCTCAGAGCCTAAAGACAATCTTATATCTGTGAAGGATAAGAATGGGTCCTTATAAGAGAAGGCTGTTGACTTGGACACACACCTAACAGAGGTGATGGCAATGCGGTAAGATATTTCACAAGTTAAAGGTAGACAAGGATATATCTGTGATAGGCTTAAAAGGCTGTGTTTTTGAAGAGCCAAGAGTACCAGGTTGGGATCCCAGAGAGTCACTGAAGGCTGTACAGGAGAAACGTGAGCTACATCGTGTACTAAGGCTTTCACTAGGGAATGGGATGCAAGTTTCTGAAATAAGGTCACAAAAGCTGATATACACTGTATTGCCAAACGTATTGGGACACCCCTTCAAATCAATGGATTCAGGTGTTCCAATCACCTCCATGGTCACAGGTGTATAAAATAAAGGACCTAGGCATGCAGAGCGTGGTACCATAATAGGTTGTCACCTGTGCAATAAGTCCATCTGTGACATTTCCTTACTACTAAATATTCCACGGTCAACTGTTAGTGGTATTATAACAAAGTGGAAGCAGCTGCGAACAACAGCAACTCAGCCACCAAGTGGTAGGCCACATAAAATGACAGAGGGGACAGTGCACAGAAGTTGCCAACTGTCTGCAGAGTCAATAGCAAAATACCTCCAAACATCTTGTGGTCTTCGGTTAGCACAACAGTGCATAGAGAGCTTCATGGAATGGGTTTCCATGGCTGAGCAGCTGCATCCAAGCCTTACATCACCAAGTGTGAAGCAAAGTGTCGTTGGATACAGTGGTGTAAAGCACGCTGCCACTGGACTCTGGAGTGACGAATCACGCTTTTCTGTGTGGCAAGCCGATGAACGTGTCTGGGTTTGGCGGTTGCCAAATGAACAATACTTGCCTGACTGAATTGTACCAAGTGTAAAGTTTGGTGGAGGGGGGATTATGGTGTGGGGTTGTTTTTCAGGGCTTAAGATGTCAGCATACCAAGACATTTTGGACAATTTTATGCTCCCAACTTTGTAGGAACAGTTTGGGGATGGCCCTTTCCTGTTCCAACATGACTGCACACCAGTGCACAAAGCAAGATCCATAAAAGACATGGATGAGCGAGTTTGTGGTGGAGGAACTTGATTGTCCTGCACAGAGTCCTGACCTCAACCTGATAGAATACCTTTGGGATGAATTAGAGCGGAGACTGCGAGCCAGGCCTTCTCATCAGACATCAGTGCCTGACCTCACAAATGTGCTTCTGGAAGAATGGTCAAACCTTCCCATAGACACCCTCCTAAACCTTGTGGACAGCCTTCCCAGAAGAGTTGAAGCTGTTATAGCTGCAAAGGGCGGGGCCAACTCAGTATTGAATCCTACGGACTAAGACTGGGATGCCAGTAAAGTTCATGTGCGTGTAAAGGCAGGGGTCCTAATACTTTGGAAATATAGTGTACGTTCCTTAACCACAAGCCTACAGGGCACTTATACCCCCTTCCTGCCCAGGCCAATTTCCAGATTTCAGCACTGTCGCACTTTGAATGACAATTGTGCAGTCATGCAACACTGTACCCATATGAAATTTTTATAATTTTTTGCGACAGAGATTTTTTGGTGGTATTTAATCACCTCTGGATTTTTTCTTTTTTTCTTAAACAAACCAAAAACCACTGAAAATTTTGAAAAAAAAAAAGTTTTTGTTATAAAAATTTTGTAAATAAGTGATTTTTCTCCTTCACTGATGTGCGCTAATGAGGCTGCAGTGATGGGTACTGATAGGCTGCACTGATGGACACGGATAGGTGGCGATGAGGAGGCACTGGTAGGTGGCACTGATGGGCATTGAAAGGCAGCACTGATACATGGCACTGATACATGGCACTGACAGGTGGCACAGAAAGGCAGCTCAGATGGGCACTGATATGTGGCATTGATGTGCACTGGTAGGCACTGATGTGGCATTGATGTGGCACTGGACACTGGCACGAGGCACTGATGAGCACTGACACAAGGCACTGATGAGCATTGACAGGTGGCACTGTTGGGGCTACACTGATCATCAAGGCACACTGATAATCAGTGCCCATGTCCCCTCCGCGGAAAGCCGATTACGGCTCTCCTCTCCTCTGAGTGGTCAGCGTGACAGCTCGAGAGGAGAGAAATGCCGGTAGCCGGCATTTCCCTGTTTACATGTGATCAGCTGTGATTGGACACAGCTGATCACATGACCGAGCCGACACCTTCGGCTCTTTCCGTGATTGGTGATCCGCTGTGTCTGAGGGACACAGCGCACCGCCGATCGCCGCTCCCTGAGCCGAGCATGTGCGGTGAGAATGGGAGGACGTCATATGACGTCCTCCCAGAACGAGAGAACCACCTTGCGTCTGTCATATTACTATATGGCGGGCGGGAGGTGGTTAAAGGAGAAGTAGGGCCAAAGCTTTTATGGTCCTACTTTCCCTGCGGGTCACAGAAGTGCACTTGGTTCTACACTCCCATGACCAGTTTTCATCCAACAGTGAGTTAAAGTTCACTGTCAGGCTGACGTCACTGAGTCAGTCCAGGCACTGAAGAGATCCTGGCTTTAAAGTTGGGATTCACCAGATTCCTGATCAGCGTTGCCGAGAAACTGAACCAGCCGCTCTCGCCCCCTCCACAGCCCAGTGCTCCAGTGAGCTCTGGAGGGGCAGACCAGAGTCAGTGCTCACTGAAGAACGCAAACTGAGATATCGGTCTTTGATCGCTTAGTTCTCAATCTTAGAGGCGGTGGGGATCAATGCTGCATTCACCTAGGTGAGTATGAATGTTTTTTTTTTTTCCCTCTTTCCTTAACTTCTCTTTTAATAGAACACAGAGAATTGTTGATCCAGGCTGGATTGCAGAAAAGTCAGGATCCACTCCACACAGTTATTTTCTGGGATTAAATTTTTTTGGCCTTGCACCTGGCAAAGTATGCTTTCCATGTTAAGTAATAGACCTTACAAGAGGTGGACTTCCTAGCTTTCAGGAGCATAAGAACGGCCAAATCAATAGTGGAGTTAAGAAGTCCATCATTAAAGGGATAGACAAATCTCTCAGAGCCCTAGTATAATGATAGGACGACGAGCTTCAGCAGTCAAATAAAGGTTCCGCACTAACGAGGTGTCCAGGACACCTCCAGTCTGCTAAACTGGCAACCATCATGAGGATCTGCGTACACACAGTTCACTGTACAAAATCGCCAATACCAAATCTGACTGAACTCCCACGTATACGCAAGTGGGGCGTCATCCCCTCCCAGGCAATGATACAAGTTTGTGATCAAGACCCAGAAGCCAGCCACCCATAGGGGTCAGTGGCAGGGCTGGTTGATCCAGGATGCGGCCTCGCTGGATCCAAGGTAAGCACAGTTCCACTTTAATTTTTCAGAATGGCCTCCCAAAAAAGAATTAGTAAAGTGAAGAGTTATGTAAAGCAGTGGATTTATAAAAGTAAATAAGAGGAATACACAAGAAAGTATGACTTTTGAGTATAGTATATCTTGTGCCACAGAGCCAAAAATGTCAAGAACAGATTAGAACCCAGAGAATTTCTAAACACCATCTTAGGGTTCAAACTGCTAAATATTTACCAGCTTTCCAGAACAAAATTAAAAAAAAAAAAAAAAAAAAATATTTTTTTTTAAAATAGAAAAAACCGAGGAATAATACTGCATCTTCCCTTTAAAATACTACCGTATTTTCCGGCGTATAAGACGACTTTTCACACTGAAAATAATCCCCCAAAAATCGGGGGTCGTCTTATACGCCGGAAAAAACTGTCCATCCCGGGAGCTGAGGTAATATGGAGGGCACATCTTCAACATCCCCAAGTGAAAGATTGCCAATAATTAATTTATTTAATCAATAAATAATTTACCCCGCTGGATGTAGCTTCTTTATCTTCGGCTGGATGTGCCGCTGGAAGCCCTATGTACCTTCGGCTTCAGAACGTCTCTGTGCTGACACTGTCCCGCACTGAGCCAATCACAATAAGCCTGCTCGGATTGGCAAAGTTTGAATAGACCGCTCTAACTCAGCCAATCCGAGCAGGCTTTTTATGCATACGAATTATGAATACACCGCTTGCCGTGATTGGCTGAGCGCAGTTCATACAGTGTCAGCACAGGGACGTTCTGTAGCCAAAGCCACAGTATTATAGAGCACATCCAGCAGCTTCAAAAGGTAAATACCATCTTATATTCTGTATGTAGCTGAATCTACAAGCATATCCAGTGGGCTAAAATGTAATAATGGGGACATTATGTACGGTATGTTTATACACTGAATTCTAGTAAAAAGCCTGCTCAGATTGGCGTCAGAGAGGCAGTCTATTACAACCTTTGCCAATCCAAGCAGGCTTGTTATTGGCCTTCCATTTATCAATGTATGTTATGTTCGAAAAATGTAATTCAATAAAAATTTATTTAAAAAAAAAAAAAAAAAAAAAAAAAAAAAAAAAAAAAACTGGTGTTGCCTCGGAAGTGGGGGGTAGTCTTATACAGCGAGTATAGGCCAAAACCTATGTTTTAACTGTAAAATTAGGGGGTCGTCTTATACACCTAGTCGCCTTATATGCCGGAAAATACGGTAATTAGGAAACATTTTGTAGTTTCAGTCTTTTCCACTAGATGGCAGTGTAGCTGCAAAGTCTGCAGACTGACACCACCCATTGGGCTTTAAACACAGGATGTCAAATAAGGTCTGACTTGCTAAAACAAAGAAGTATTTTCTCTTTAGGAAGGAAAGAAACCAGTGAAGCCAGCAACATGCCACTGCATACCTCCATCTTGCCCTGGATCCATGGTCCCTCCACATTAGCTAAGTTAGCGAACTCCACACGTAAGCGCTCGTTGGACTGTTGCTTGTCTTGCTCTGCCTTCAAAGCATTGTCTCTCTTGGGGACAAGCTGTTGTACCTGCAATTGAAAAATAAACATTTCCTTTATTAGAATTGGGTACTGTACTCAGGTGACCTTGAGCTCATCCTTTTGTAGTCACCTACCTTCTCCCACTTGAAATTAATGATGTCTGGTGTAACTGTGGTGTAGGGGTTTCCACCGGTCAACTTAATGTGGTTATAATCGGCAATCTTCTGGACTTGGCGCTGGATGTCAAGAATGGCTTCTCTCTCGCGGTCTGCATCTGGCAGAGTGGACTTAAACTGGCCATGGGCTGTGATTAGGCCCTGTAATGAACAAATCAAAATGAACAGGTTTTCTCTTAATGGTCCAGCCCAAATCTTTCCCTCCAGTTGCATTATAAAGGTAAAATATATAGTGGTGGTGTATGCAAGGAAGAAAAAAAAAAAAAAAAAAAAAAAAAAATCACCTTTAAAAAAAAAAAAAAAAAAAAAAGCCCTGGCAATTCAACTTAAAGTGGAGCTCCAGTTCCCCTAATAAATTTTTGGTAAAAGCAGATCCACGATGACCTTTCAAATAACAGTTGGAATAATTCAATAGTAAAAGCATTGTAATTACTTTGTAATTATTAAAAATGTACCATGATCTCGGAAGCAGGCAGGTGCCATGATGGCTGTGGCCATCTGAAGCCCACAGGTATTTATTTCTGGGAATCGGTGCTGCTGGCTATCCCAGCATGCACCACTCGTTCTCACGCCTGTGCAGTACAGACACTGCTTGGCGCGATGTACACACTCTGCAATTCCATCATAGAGCACACCGTAGGACACAGCATGATACAGCATCCACGTCCTCCTGTAATCTGGACTCCGGTAAAATGGTGTGAAACACCTCCCATTTGCGTCATTTCCGGTTTCCAAGTCCCGCAATTTCAGTAAAACCAAAGGACTCCTGGGATACAGGAAATGACATCCCAGGATGCAAATTGACTTACGACGTCATCGCCTAGGCGGCCAAGACCGGAACTGCAGGCTTGCAGTGGATATAAAGGTATGTATATTAATAAAAAAAAAAAAAAAATACCCAACTTGTTCTTTATTTTACAGGAAAAACAATCAGGTAAAGCATGAAAAATGGGTGGAACTCCACTTTAAGAACATGATTGTTATCTTACTGCATGCAAACTTTTTTTTTTAGAAATATAGGTAGTCCAAGTGACATATGCAAATCACAACTTAGCATGCTTAGCCCCCCTGACTCCGGAGCCTACATTTAGGAGCTTTAATATTAAAGTGATTTTAAAGGTTCTTTTTTTGTTGTAAAATAGCAAACATGTCTATACTTATCTGCTGTGTTTAGTGGGTTTGCACAGTGCAGCCTGGATTCTCCTCTTCTTGGGTCCACTGCAGGCTCTCCTGGCTCCTCCTGCTGGTTGCCCCCACAGCAAACACCTTGCTATGGGGACACCCGCTGCTCCGTGTGTCCATTCACACACGGAGCTGTGGCTTGGCCCTGCCACCTCTCTCCTCATTGGCTGACTGGCTGTGATTGACAGCAGCGGGAGCCAATGCTGTCTCAGCCAAGGAGCGGAAGAGACCCATGAAAGCCGTGACGGTCACTCACACTGCTGGATCGCGATGAGGCTCAGGTAAGTATTGGGGGGCTGCTGTACACAGAAGGTTTTTTTATCTTCATGCATAGAATGCATGAAGGTAAAAAAAAACTTTCAGCCTTTACAACCACTTTAAAGATGGCTGAAATGACCAAACAGGGAGTATTGCACACACGAGTGTCAGGAGGGAGAACTAAAAAAAAAGCCAAAAAAAAAAAAAACCTTACATCAACTTCTTCAACGGTGTGTACAATAAACATGTCCTGTAGATCCTCCATGGCCCCATCCATCCAGTTATTAAACGGTGATGCCCTCTTGGCATACTCCAGGTTCATCTGGTCAATGGTCTCCAAATGCTTTTCTGTTTGCTGGAGAAAAAAAATGGCAGGTCAACGAAGATCCCCCCATAGAAGATTGAGACATGTGAGGGAAGACTGCTGCACTCACCTCTAAGGCTTCTCGTCTGAGGTGTGTCAGTGACCCCAGGACATCCCACTGGTCACAGATCTTTTGGCAACGTGCGTTTACACTGGCGGAGTCATAATAGTCAAGTTCACTGGAAAACAGATAAATAATATTTAGCAGCTGCACAACTTAAAAAAAAAAAAAAGAAGGTTAAGACTTATCCCCTGGAAGGACTGCTCACACCCACATACATGTACACCCTCACTAAACCTTTACACGTGTCAGTGGAATAAAAGATGCTATTCACTGCAGCCATGGCAAGCCTGGAAATGTGGAAGTTGTGAAACTCGCTGCCTGGAATGTCTTCTAATGATGGTGTGTGAGAGCCATGAACAAAGAGGGCACTGTGTGTTTATGTACACACACCTTTTGCAAGCAGCAAAGAACACAACATGTAGCAACTACATTTCCTGAGCTTTGCCATGGAATAGTAATGAGGAACATCAGGCAACAAGGTCCCAAATCCCACAGCTGATTAAAGAGACCCTGTCAGGATAGGAATACAGGAGCACAAAATGACTGCAGTCGTCATCCTTTTACCTTCACTACCCAAGCTTAAAGTAGAGGGGCAAACCTATTTTTAGGTTTTTTTTAAGTTTTGGATGAAGTGCTTACAACACTTTTTCTTTGCCCTGTTTGCCATTATCTTAAAAGAAAATCCCAACATTTTAGGATGTCCCAAGAAAAGTAATAAGGAAACTCTTCTAATGGGGACACTAGTTCTGGTGACCTGGGGGTCCCTAAGGAATTCCCTTCCTATTACTCCCTGGTGGGCTATGCAACAGAACGTGAAGGGAAATCTCTGCAATGGCACACAGATGACGAGGAGAAAAAAAAAAAAAATAATCTAAAGAGTGGTCTAAATCCTAGCTAAATCTATCCAAAATGAAAAAAAAAAAAAAAAGTTTTGCCTATGCAGGTGTATCTCAGTTTACAAACGCTTCGGTTAACGTAATTTTCGGTTTATGAATGACAATCCATTGAAAATAATCCCACGGTTTACAAATTTTTTCCGAATTTTTTTCGCAATACGAAGTGTATGTCGGTGCCGATTTTTAAAAACAATTACTGGCTTTTTTTATCTTCACTATAGCTCACAGAATTAGCTGTCACTTTCCCCAGAGTTAAAGGAAACATTGTTTCTTTTAACTTGGGGAAATAAACTAAATGAAAACTTAACATTTCTTTTAGCTGGAAAGTGACAGCTGAATCTCTGAGCTATAGTGGAGAGAAAAAAAAAACCGGTAATTACATTTAAAAACCGGCACCATAATAAAATGAAAAAACCGGTGTGGGGTCCCCCCCTCCATTCATACCAAGCCCTTCGGGGCTGGTGTGGGTTTTGAGGGGAACTCACACGCCACAATAAAAGTGGCGTGTGGGTCCCCCCCCCCCCCCAAAATCCATACCAGAACCTTATCTGAGCATGCAGTCCGGCAGGTCAGGAAAGGGAGGGGGGCACCACGACGAGCAAATGCCGCCCCCCCCCCCCCCCCCTTCTGAACCATACCAGGCCACATGCCCTCAACATGGAGGGTGCTTAGGTGCCATGTTGATTTGGACAAGGGCCTCTTCCCCACAACCCTAACCGGGGTTGTGGGGAAGTGTATGAAAAAAAAAAAAAAAAAAAAAAAAAAAAAAAAAAAAAACAGGACACGGTCTTTGACAAGTCCTTTATTAAAATATAAAAAAAAAAAATAATGTCCTTCGCAGCAGATCCAACATCAATCACGATGTCCGCCGCCGTCATCAATAATGTCACATGGGGAGGGGTCACTCGGGTAATGTCCCGGGTGGCCCCACCCCTTACATATTTAAGAACTATCAAACCACCAGAACAGGCAGACGGCTAGGGGCCATCGTCGGAACTGGAGCATTTTTTATTTTTTTTTTTTTAGAATTCTTTTTTCGGTCTGGCGGTGGACATAGTGATTGATGTTGGATCTACTGCGGGGGACATTCTTTTAATTTTTTTCTTTTGATAAAGGACTTGTTAAAGACCATGTCCTGTCTTTTCTCATACTACACTTTGTTTTTTGTGAATGAGTATCGCGACCGTGTACCCCATACTCATTCACTGGGGGGGGGCACTATCTAGGGGCTTCCAGGTTATGATTAGCCCCCTGCCCGCACACCCCCACAACCACCAGCTAGGGTTGTGGGGAAGAGGCCAAAGCACCAACCCCCCCCCCCCCCCCCCCCATGTTGAGGGCGCGTGGCCTGGTAAAGATCGGGAGGAGGGGGGGGGGGTTATCGCTTGTCTACTCCCCCCTTTCCTGACCTGTCGGGCTGCATGCTTGGATAAGGGTCTGGTACCCATGCCGCCTTCTCTTTTTTTTTTTTTTTTTTTTTTTGGCGCGGGAGTTCCTTCAAAACCCATACCAGACCCAAAGGGCTTGGTATGGATGGGATGGGGGACCCCACGCCGTTTTATTTTTAATTGACGGCAAGTCTTTTACATTCAGCTGTCAGTGGAGAACCACATTAACACATGATTGTCACTACTAAAATACCACAAGACTTGATAAAATAACTCATGCTGTATTTTAGTAGCGTTTAATTTTTTCTGACTTCCGGAATGGATTAATTGGTTTTCAATGCATTCCCATGGGATACGGTGTAGCAGTTTACAAATTTTTCACTATACAAACAGTCCCGCAGAACTAATTAAAATTAGAACTACAGGCATACCTCAGTTTACGAATTTAAAGGAAAACTCCACTTTTGTTAAAAAAAAAAAAACCCCCACACTAACAACGCATATCAAATTGCTACACAAGGCATTTTGTAATATAATGTCTATTTCCTGCTCTGTGGTTGGATCACTGATTTTCCCAGACATCTGCACTAAGATGCAAGTAACATATTGGGCATTCCCTACAAGAGAAACGTTTTGGTGAGATACTCCTTTAGGTATATCTACTTAATGGATTTGACCATTTGGCTTTCCTCATTAAAACACTAAGGGTTTTAATTGCAAAAATTAGAGAAATGTGGTGCAGCTGTGCATGGTAGCCAATCAGCTTCTAACTTCAGCTTGTTTAATTAAAGTATAACTAAAAAAGCAAGACTTTTTTTTTTTTTTTTTTTTTTTTAAGAACACTTGTCAATTTTTACTGCTGTCTTTAACCCCGTTAGGGAGATTCACCCCATTTTTCCTGTTTTTAATTGTAATTGAAAGTAAAATGAAAATCCCAAATTTTGGGCTTTTTCCAAAAACGTAAGAGGGGAAATCTTCCAATGGGGAAACTAGTTCTGGTGACCTAGGAATTCCTTCATTTGCAGGGATCTCCTCTCACTTCCTGTTTGGCTGTGGGACAGGAAGTGAATGTAAATCTCCGCAATGTGACGCAGATGACGAAAAAAAATAAAATAAATCTGACAGGAGTTGTATACTCTCACAACAGTTTTACAAGACAGACGTGAGGAAGAATCTGCAACAGGAACAGACAGCAATAAAAATCTGACAGGGGTTCTAGTCTTCCTCTATACTAAAAGAAAAGCATTTATTTTGGTTTGTCAAACACAGGAAAGGTTTTTAGCGTCCTGAGAAGCCCAGAAGCCACACAACCTTTGTTCCACTTTGAGTGTATTGAGGCTGCTTTGTGGGTTGGCTGGGCGCGGTGGTCTGCCCATCTATACGTACTCAAAGATGGCCTGATGGTGCCAAGTCCACTGCTGCCATAGCAAGAAGTGATGTCATCCCCACCCACTCTGTGAACACATGCTGATTAGGAAGTGCTGAGAGCCACCAGCACAGCCGAAGGTAGTGCACTGGCGACCCACATCCAGTAGGACTGGAGCAGAACAATACAGCAGTGTATATCTGTTTGACAAGTGTATTCCTCTTCACCTTTGTGAGTTGACAGTTTTTGTGAAAATAAATAGTTTTGACTTTAATGCTGCACTTTGATGGCACCGCTTCTTTCTTCTTATTTTTAGTCTATGTTGTTGTTGGAGTTACTCTCACTTCCTGTCTGGTAAAATGCCAGTAATACAGGAAATGAGGGTAAATGTCTATAATAAACCCCAAGATAGCAGTAAAAACCTCATAGGGCTTCTAAAACTTACCCTCGCTATCCAAAACTAAGAAAAAGCATTTTTAATTATTCAAAACGATTAGTAGATCCAGAAAAATGGACAATTAAAATGAGCAAATTAGAACTTTTATTTAAATTTTAAGTCGAGCTTGGCCCACCTCTTCCTGTTTCCTTATTGGTCTTTTGTTTGGTCTTTTATGGTGAGGGACAAATTTAAATGCTTTAGAGATAGGAGGTGGAACTTGATAAATTACAGTGCCTTGAAAAAGTATTCATACCCTTTAAAAATGTTCCACATTTTGTCATGTTACAACCAAAAACTTTAATGTATTTTATTGGGATTTTATGTGATAGACCAACACAAAGAGCAACATAATTGTGAAGTGGAAGGAAAATGATAAATGGTTTTCAAACTGGCATGCATTTGTATTCAGCCCCCTTTATACTCTGATACACCTAAGATCTAGTGGAACCAATTGCCTTCAGAACTCCCCTTATTCGTAAATAGAGTCCACCTGTGTGTAATTCTCAGTATAAATACAGCTGTTCTGTAAAGCCCTCAGAGGTTTGTTAGAGAACATTAGTGAACAAACAGCATCATGAAGGCCAAGGAACACACCAGACAGGTCAGGGATAAAGTTGTGGATAACTTTAAAGCAGAGTTAGGTTATAAAAACATATCCCAAGCTTTGAACATCTACAGAGCACTGTTCAATCCATCATCCCAAAATGGAAAGAGTATGTATGGCACAACTGCAAACTACCAAGACATGGCCGTCCTAAACTGACAGGCCAGGCAAGGAGAGCATCAGAGAAGCAACCAAGAGGCCCATGATAACTCTGGAGGATCTGCAGAGATCCACAGCTCAGGGGGGAGAATCTGTCCACAGGACAACTATTAGTTGTGCACTCCACAAATCTGGCCTTTATGGAAGAGTGGCAAGAAGAAAGCAATTGTTGAAAGAAAGCCATAAGAAATCCCGCTTACAGTTTGCAGGAAGCCATGTGGGGGACACAGCAAACATGTGGAAGAAGGCGCTCTGGTCAGATGAGACCAAAATTGAACTTTTTGGCCTAAAAGCAAAACGCTATGTGTGTCGGAAAACGAACACTGCACATCACCCTGAACACACCATCCTCACAGTGAAACATGGTGGTGGCAGCATCATGTTGTAGGGATTCCTTTCTTCAGAAGGGACAAGAAAGCTATAGTCAGAGTTGATGGGAAGATGGATGGAGCCAAATACAGGACAATCTTAGAAGATTTCTTAGAAATCTTAGAAGTCTGCAAAAGACTTGAGACTGGGGAGGAGGTTCACCTTCCAGCAGGACAACAACCCTAAACATACAGCCAGAGCTACAATGGAATGGTTTAGATCAAAGCATATTCATGTGTTAGAATGGCTCAAAGTCCAGACCTAAATTTAACTGAGAATCTGTGTCAAGGCTTGAAAACTGCTGTTCACAGGACGCTCTCCATCCAATCTGACAGAGCTTGAGCTATTTTGCGAAGAAGAATGGGAAAAAATGTCACTCTCTAGAGGTGCAAAGCTGGTAGAGACATCCCCAAAAAGACTTGCAGCTGTAATTGCAGCGAAAGGTGGTTCTACAAAGTATTGACTCAGTGGGGCTGAATACAAATGTACAACATACTTTTCACAGATTTATTCAATTAAATGCAACTTTATGTTGGTCTATCACATAAAATACCAATAAAATACATTTATGTTTGTAACATGACAGAATGTGGAAAATTGCAAAGGGTATAAATACTTTTTCAAGGCACTGTAGCTGTATTGGATTATATAAAACTTGGATGAAAGGCTCAGTGAGGGGATGCTATCACCTAGAGAAGAAATGTCTCTACACATCAATGTAAGAGTGCGGGCAGATATGGACAGCAATCATCTTTAGTTCTCACTACACAAGACCTGCAGTCTCCTTACTATTGTACATAAGGAATAGAGGCTGTGACCACTCACTTCAGCTCTTGTGCAATGGCAGCAATCTGTTCCACTCTGTCTTGGTGGGCTGCAAGGTCACTTTCGAAGGCCTCATGTTTTCGGATCAGGGCCTTGATATCTGCAAGGGTAGCTGTTTCGTAGTCCTTCTGCTTCAATAAGGCCTCCTTGCCTGTTGAAAGAAAGATCTGTGAGGTACTGTAACTAAAATATACAGCCATATTTTAATAGGTGCACAGGTATAAATTTCTAACAGCAAACTGTTAGAAATACCTGGCAGATCCATGACACTGGCCAGTCCACACTTCCTGGCCATATATGCATTAACTGTAGGAAGTCTCAAGATAGCTCAAGTTGGTGCTGTTTTAATTAACTGAATTGGTCAATGAAGCTTAGTCTGACTTTCATGTTTGTGTTTACGCAGTTTACAGAAAATCACATAAGAAAAAAAAACAAAAAAAAAAAAAGTCCTGAAAAATCAGGATTCATAAAACAGGAAGTTTCCCAGCACTCTGGGTGACTTAGCATACAAAAAATGAACAGAAAATTCAGATAAAAAAAGTATCTGATCTGCTAATCAGCGGAAAGTGAATTTGCGTTTTTTCAGTTCCTCAACTTATTTTTGCTTTGTCTGAAAAAACGAACAAACAAATGTGAGAAGTTTTCCAATCTGTTTGGACTCTTGCAATGCTGGTGACAATCTCTTGATTTGTCTGTGTACCTTGCATTAAATGGAGCTCTTAATTACAAAGTATTATCTTTCAAGGTACAGCCTGCCTAAGCCACATCAAATAATCTGCAAAGTATAAAACGGATGACACAAAAGAAATGGACAAGCAAGGACTTAACAGCTCACCTAGTGGCTGCAGGATTTTCAGATTGGAAGGGGCTCTGTAAAAAGCCCAGTATAATAGGTTGTTATAGGATAGTAAGTCCTTCTTGGAACATATAAGTCTTATTCTATCACATATCCCTAAAAGATTATTCCTCATTTCGGGACAGTGGGTGGAGTCACTTCTTTTTTACCCAATAACAGTCAGAATTGCTGTTCATTGCGTAAATACATTTATATTCCAAACGGCATAACGCCTTTTTAGCTGCTACACACCGAGTGGAGGGCTTTTTAATTTCTTCAGTTCCTTCTTACCATAACCAAGGTTTTGTTATATAAAAAACATAGGTAACAGGCAATATCTATCACTTAACAGTAATTATTTCAAAAGGACATGAAAAAGACTTGAATTTTACAATCACCAGTTTGAATATAAATGAAGGAAAAAAAAAACAAAACAAAAAAAACACCAAACCCACAAATCGGTTCTAGTTCCATTACAGTTATCAGAAGAAGGAAGTAAGCTGACACTTACAAGCAATACCATTACTGAGTTATAAAAGTTGGATTTTTGGACTCATAAAACCTTTTTCTTGAAGTCCATTGAGGGACACAGGGGGTCTTAAACCTTCAGGTTATACTACTACCTATGGCAGTAGTGGATATTCGTAAACAAAACCTGTAGGCCATCCCAGGATAATCCCTTCTACTGCCAGCAAACCTGTTTTGTAGTAAAGCAGTACCGAGACCATGATTAATGCCAAAGAGGAGTGGTACCCATGTCTCTCAATGGAATCCAACAGACTCTCATCCATTTAGGGACGCAGCAAGGTAAAGCTTTGGGATATACAAAGAGTCCAACTGAGGGATGGGCAACACAGCAAACAGCTGTTAAAAGGACCATCAAACACAGGAAACTGGGGACTGAAGAGATGCCTAAAGCTAGCATCAGGTGAGACAGAAATATCCATCTGGCACTTCTGGCAAATTGGACAAAAGGAAAGCAGAAAAAAAATCTTTGTGATTAAATCCCATGGAGTCAAAAGAGATTGGACTGAGGGACCATATAAGATCCCGTGCACAAAAAGGTACTAATTAGAGGATGAGAAGCCAAAAGGTCTCTGAAACAGAACTTGTCCTTACACCAAGCAAGATATGCCTTCTCGGCCCATTGATAAACCTTGCAGGGGTAGGCTTCCCAGCTTTGAGCATCATAGGAATCTCAGGCTCAGATACCTATTCCTAAGAGTCTGTGCTGTGACGGCCATGTCCATTAAAGCCAGCGACCAAGAAGCATGGCATTACATTTGTCCTAGGGATGAAAAAATTTGGATGCTCTGACAAAAACGCACAGTAAGAAGTATTATCAGGTTAGTGTACAGTATCCACCTTGGGTCATTCTAGAGCAATGACACAGCAAGTTAAACCTTTGGGACATACAAAAAGGAGTCCACCTGAGGGATGGACAACACAGCAAACAGTCGTTAAAAGACCATCAACCAGAAAGTCCCCAAGCTCGGTCCTGTGGAGCAGACAAAGAAGTTTCAAAGGAAGAAAGGCAAAAGTCAGTGTGTACTGATCCCACAGTACAAACAGTGCATCCACCACTTCTGCCAGGTGATCCCTGAATACAAACCAGCCCAATTTGTTGATCTGCCGGGGAAGGCAAGGTGAAACAAACTTTTTGCAAGAAAGTTCCACTGTATCTAAAGGGTCATCACATATGCACCAACAAGAGGCTAATGCTGGAAACAAGCTGGGAGGCTTCCAATAGCCAAGACAGCTAAAGTTTCATGGTACAGACAATTTACATACACTCAATGATGAAGGTCAACAGCATCAGCTATAAGACCCCTTTCAGGGATCTGGATCAATCAGACACAGTTTGGCAAAACAAGAGTACAGCCAACAATTGGGTACAAGGCAGGAGCTGCCAAACAGAACATAGTTCTAAAAAGGGCTTCCAGCAACACATTGTTCAGGTCCCTAAATGCAAGAACATCCTTCAAAAAGGTAGCCTTGTTAAAGCAAGAGAGAAAGAATTTATGCAACAGACACAGCCCATCAAAACATTTAAAATCTTCGTACATAAATAACTGGAAGAGTGAGGCAAAGTAAAGGTTTTTTCAGACACTAGGCCAGAAACTGCACTAGTTGAAGTGACAGGCTGACCTGCACTGTATCAGTACCTTTGACTTGAGAGTAATAGCAGCAAACTGACTACTCGTGGTAAAATTCATCAGAGGGGAAAAAAAAAAAAAAAAAAAAAAAAAAAAAAAAGGAGGCTTGTGTATTCAGTGTAGTGTATTTCTTCCAGTGCTGAGCAGTAGTCCAGTGTGAAACTTTTCCTCTGTATAGTAGCTTCCTGTAATAGACAGATCACTGCTGCCCTTGTATATGTGACCAAACTCCCCTCTGCCCCCTCCTGTAGTTGTCTGCAGGCAGCCTGTAGTGAATGGGACCTGTTGGGTGCCTCCTATCTTCTTTTACAAAGTAATATTTTTTTATATAGGCCGCACCAAAGACATCTTAGGATTGGTGAACATCTTCAGAATATTTATATAGGATATGGTCTCCATGCATTTTAGGAAACATCTAATAAAGACTAAATTTTCTCCTGCGCTCCGGGACCCAGGCCGGTATAGGATCAAATAAAAAACAACCACCGGGGCATACAAGGTCGTGCAGCTCCAAACCAAGGCTGGGGAAGCCCGAACAGAACTGTGAAGTAAAACAAGAAGAAGCGCACCAACCTTGTGCATTACCTCAGTAACCAAATGATTTAGTAAAAGAATGGTACTCACAAACAGCGAATAAAAACAGGCATGTAATCCTCCCAGGGACTTCAAAGGAAGAGGCTAATCCCATCATGCACTCAGTATTGACGCGTTTCGAAGGTCATGACTTCTTCCTCAGAGCTCTGAGGAAGAAGGCATGACCTTCGAAACGCGTCAGCTGTACTGAGTGTCCACCCCCATGATGGGATTCGCGCTGGCCTCTTGCCTTTGAAGTCCCTGGGAGGACTTGCATGCCTGTTTTTATTCGCTGTTTGTGAGTACCATTCTTTTACTAAATACATTTGGTTACTGAGGTAATGCACAAGGTTGGTGCGCTTCTTCTTGTTTTACTTCACATCATAATAAAGACCTGTCTTGTGTTAAACTTTGGGGTATAGATACCATCCCCCGATCCTGGAGAGGTTCTAATAGGGTGAGTTGTCTAAAAAGGAAACAAAATGGATATATCTTACAGATTCTGACTCCTAATAGTTTAAATATTGAGTTAGACATTGTTTTATTAGTGATTATTAAGCTTCATTATATAAAATTATTTTATTACGATTTTTTAAACCTGTTTTAGCTAGTTTATTTGAACTGATTAGTTCCTAATTTAGTTCTTATGCTGTTTCTGATGTAAACGGATCTTGAATATGCTATTAATTCAGATGAAATGTTAAGTTTTCATTTGCAATATCCAACCAAGATGATCTAGTGACGGAGGATGTAGTATGGTCTTTTATCCATTAGACGGCAGTAGTAGGTCTGCTTGGCTGACCAATGAATAATCGAGTGGTTCTTTATAAGACTGCTTGTCCTCATGTATGGCCCCACCCTCACAGGAAGTCGGCAGGACAAAACGCGTCAGTGCGTGACCATCCGTGACGTCAGCACGCTTACCGATACCATGTGACCGGCATCACGACCGTCATGGCGGAAGTCAGTGGAGGTGAAATGCGCGTTGAGATTACAATACACCACTGAACCGGTAGTAACATTACCAACAGTTTGAGTGTGTTGTGCATTATCCATTTACCAAAATGTGAGTGCAATTTTAAAGGGATTTCAACTAATAAATGTTATATAAGCGGAATTACAATATGTGGCTTTTTTCATTTCTTTACCCATATATGGAATTGGATCTCTATGCTTGAGGAATGGTGTCGTGGAGTCCAGAAGGAGAATGTTTTAATGGTACTTATTGGATGGTGACCATGGTTTTTGCTATTGAGATTTTCCACTGCTGGTCCTTCAGCAATATCTGTCATTAAGGAGTTGTTTTCCCCTGCAGGTTATTCACCAGTATTCTGGTGAGTGTCCATTCTGATGGGGTGTTAATCACTGCAATATCACAAAAGGTGTTGGATTGGATTTGCTTGAATATAGGAATTATTGAAACGGATCAGGTGTACTGGACTGTGTGCATATTCACTCTGACACACCATAGTGGAAGTTTCATTTCCACTTCACTCTCCATTCAACTTACTTATTTATGTTTGTTTCACTTTTTGATATGCAGAACTGAGCTCTGTTTATGAGAAGGGTCAACTATACTCAAACAATTTTGTAATATTTTGGTTTGCAAAGGTATTTGGTGCTTACAAAGTGAATTTATATGCTTTGCGGCCATTCAGGAATATATTAAATGGAATGTTTTTGTGCCTGGTGTTCTATAATAACCTGAGCCACTCAGAATCACACCCTGTAGCAAAAGTCTCTGTACTCGAGGCCTCAGATGCTGCAGTCACATGGGATTGAGAATCTGCCATAGAGAACACAGTTAGGCCTCTGAAATCAGAGTCTAAAAACAACAGGGTAAATTGGGTACAAAAGCTCTGCATGACCAAGAATAAATCGTCAGCCAGCCACAATCGAAGACGCCAGAGGACACTGAGGAAAGACTATAAAAAAAAAAAAAAAAAAAAACACAACAGCAGCATGATTCCAAGCCACGGATGTCACTATCATGGGGCATATCCCCAACCTTAGTCGAGAGCATGCTGAAAGCACCCGGTACAGTGGGACTGCCCCCCCATGTCCAAATTCAGACATTTTGCAGGCAGCTGCAGTGTGGTATGCAATGTACAAACTCAAAGCCTTGAGTATTCACAAAAAATTTAGACAGCTGGTAGCAGATGAAGATTTATGACCAAAGGGTTAGGCAGCCAAAGGTGAAGTCACTGTAGGAGGGCTGCAGGAAGAGGCTGAAGTTCCACATGCCTCTTTGCAGCACAAACAGATGCTTTCTTGAAGGTGCACGGCGGGAAAGTGTGTGGAGTGCATACACACGGACACTTTAGTAAGTAAAACATAGTCATCACTCTGTCCCACAGAATTAAGCCTTTCCATGGCAAAGATGGTGTGAAATGGCAATTATTGCCTAGCAACCAATAAATTTGGGGGCCCAGCCCAATTTGCCTACTCACTGAGTCTTCAGGGGCAAGTGCTGAGGCACTGCCAGTGAGTCTGGAACTGAAGAGTGCCCAACAGCTAACTTAACCAGAACCAGTCTGGAAAAACTACCAGTGGTGAAGGTCACTTCCGGGCTATCCCTGCAACGTCCAGTCCAGCAGGGCCCAGCTGCAATGCACTCCAACAGTCAAGCTGAGGACGACCCTTCTGGAGAGCTGAAAATCAAAATCAATAAGACCACCACCACCAGCAGGAGCAATCAATGCAGATGAACCTTGCCGGAAAAAAAAAAAATCCAAAAAAAGTAGGTAGAAAAAAAAAAAAAATCCAAAAAGTTACCCTTCACACAGCAGGGCTGAAGAAAAGACATCATCATCCTAACGATACTACCAGAAACAAAGGCAATCTGAAAGAAAGCGGAATGTAACCTGGGCTGGCCAGCGTACAATTCTCCTGTGGGCACAGTAATACTTAATGTGTCTTAGTAGACAAGGAAAAACTAGCTTTGGTGCTTAGCAAGAATAAAATGTAGCCATTCAGAGCTGCAAAAAGAGAAAATGTCCACAAACAATGTAACTGGTGGCCTCAAGCACAACATTTTTTCCAAACACTATATTGTAAAAAGGTGCTGCAAGATGATTCATAAATAACCACCAGTGAGATCAAAGTCATCACTTTCCCAGTGCAGTCAAGGAATGCAAAACCCTTAAACAGACAATTGCTTTAATGTGCAACTTGACTTGTAAATAACTGGAATGCGAATGGTAATGGCAGTCCCTCCACAGATATGTCTTGGGTCGTAATGGAACGTATGGCATAATTATACAGCAACTACCACCACAACATGAAATGAGGGGGAATAGGTATCACCAGGAAAGAAGACATCCACAATAGTAAACAACTTGACAGAGATCCTAACCTTCCCCATTATGACCCCTCACAGGACACGAAGGGGAAAAATCCATCAATGAGGACAATAAAAACTTGACAGGGGCCTTAACGTGGACCTAGAATCAGATATAATTATATTATGTGCCTGTATGCTAAGTAATGTGCAACACTTACAGGTATTTATTAGCTCTCAAACAGACTGCAGTACTCCCCCAGACAATGCCTTAATCTGATTTTATCTCCAGAAAGATGGAGCCATCTTTGTTCCTGCACCATCCAGGGTCAGGCTCTACTTCCTAGACAGATATTCGGACACAAATACTGGTGCCTGTGATGGTCTTGGCTGTATTCACAAATATATGGCACAGGTCAGCCTCTGTTACAGCCTCCCACATTGTGATTGGCTTGTTTTCAGCTGAGATTATCTCACCAGTCTGGCAGGAGAAAATCAGCAACTCAATGAGCTGGAATTATTTTTGAATTATAAAATGTTTCTCATGAGCAATAGAACTACCAGTAGTAACCCATGAGAATCCTAGTGATTATGTTGCCTCTTGCAAAAGACCCCCCAAAAAACTCTGAAGTAACAGATCACACAAGTGTGCTGTAAAATCAGAGCTCCTGATATGTATACTTTTTCTGGAGAGTGACTTTAGAACATCAAAGTCACTGGATCAGCATGACAGCCAGGCAATTAGCATTATCATTAAAATGGAGCTATGGCAGCTTACACATTTTCCTCCATACAGGCTCTCCTTAAACACAGCAGCATAGCTGGTAAGCGGTTAGGGATCTAATCAAGTAACACTGCCATCCTGAGTTAAACGCCCACCAAAGACATCATATTCCTTGGGGTTCCTCTGTGTGCTTTTTCACAATCCAAAAGTCATACTGACTTTCTAAATTGTAAACCAGAAGTCACCAACCTTTATCATTAGTGAGCCACAAGCAGGGATGGAAAGTGGTAGAGATAAAATGTCAAATATGAAACGGTTATAAATTACAAAAAAAAAAAAAAAAAAAAAAACAGTTAAAAACAAAGTTGGACAGTATTGGCTTGAGTTAAGACTTAGGAAGTGTACAATTCAGACACTGTCTGGATATAGTAGGCAGACACTGAGCACTAGCTGAATGGTTGCAGGACTCCTGAAAAAAAAAAAAAAAAAAAAAAAAAAAAAAAAAAAAAAGACTCCTAAGCCACATTTTGAGGACCCTTGTGGTTGGCAGCGATCATATGCTTTATAGTTCTGGCTGATCTGGAGTACCCACCTTCGGTCCAACTTTCATGAATAGAGGCTTTCTGTCGGAACTTCTCGGCCAAGTGATCCAACCTTTCCAACCTGCGAATCTCATTCAAGAGCCATTCCTCATAACCCTTTTCTGCCTGCTCCAAATGCTGCCAGCCACCGTTAATGTCCTGTAAAAGGCAAAAGAAGTAAAAATCACATTACTACTACTTGGCATTATTCTACAGTTTTAAAATTCGGGCTCAAGGCAAACATCTTTATCGTTTCACTCTTAATTTTTATAAACCCACTTTTTTCATTTCAGCCAGCGTAATTACCTAAATATGCCTTTATACCGAGTAGTCATACGCTAGCTGAAAGTTAGGCTTGCAGTGGACTGCCTGCTCTGCAGCTGTGGGCAAGGAGTGGATTACATAGGCTCTAAGGAGGTGAAAAAAGCTAAAACAGCACAATAGTATAGCAATGTTCACCAACAGTCCAACGTGTGTGTTGATCAACAGTCCAAAGGTGGTTATTGCCAGTCCTCAGAACTGCAAGCTCTATACAGCATTACCACCATGTTTATTCAGCCTTACAGCACAGAAGATATGGGTAGAAGAGATGGGTAGAATACAATAACATATACATTACTTTTAGGTCTCATAGCGTGCACCCATGTGCAATACCACATTATAGTCTGCATTTTTAAATAGGCAACTTCTTTAAAAGACCGCTCTCATCAGTTTCTTTCAAAATGCCATATCTGCATATTAGCACTGGAATTTCTTACCTCTCCTGCTATCCAGACCAGTAAACACTGCTTGTCTGTAGAGTATTTCCCTACTAAAAGCCTTTTCTGAAATTAACATCCAGGAATGTTGATCACCTGTATTTCCTGCAGCACTACATGATTTCTCCTGACAATCTCAATGCCACCCAAAAATGTTGATTTTGGACAAAATGTTGATTTAGAAAAAAAACACTTCACCAAAAGCAACATTTTAAAATAAAACATAACAGTCACCTTGACCTTTCATCAACATAACTGAAGACACTCACCGACACCATCTTCCCCTCAGACGGCATAAAAGCCGGCCGGTTACTGAGCCTCAGCTTGGTTTGTAAGGTGTTAAAGTTTATCTCCAGCTGGCATTTCTCCTGGACTTTTGGTGGTTTGTGTACTCGGCGATAGTCCCGGAAGTCCTCTAGTTTTTGCTGCATGTCATTCATGGTCTTCTCAGGCTGACGATCTTCCAACCATGGAATTGTGCGGCGAATCCATTCCAAGAGCTGAAGGAAGAATAAACAGTTAAAGAAGCAATTGTCACTGACAACACTGGTAGTATTTTTTATCTATTTCGTCTATCATATAAAAGTTTAACAGACTTGGATAGGAAAGACCATTCAAGCAGTATTGAAGAGGATCCCTACTGCTGCAAAAGGGAATATTACAAAGGCTTTAGATTTACCAAAACTATGTAATATGAGGATGTCAACAATCCATATCCAGTCAGGCAGGCCTTTGCACTACATAACATTTGTTAGATCTAATCAGATTGTAATGTGTGTGGTGAGCACTTTAGGTCTTTTTTTTCCCCCCATGGACCAGACCAATCATAACAAGGTTTATGAGAGAATTCTGGTAGGATGAGCCTGCCTGCACATGGCTTTAATGTACTGCAGATGGCTACCGTCACACAAGTCATGCCAAGCTCATCTCCTCCAACTCTTCATAGGACATCTCTTCATAGGACATCCATGTGTAGTTATGTGTGCACTGCTAGCCACAGTGAAGTCTTGGATGATATAGAAAGAACGACGGTGGTGTGGAAAGCTACTCAGAGGACAGGTTTGTTATGAACAGTGAGATTTGATAGGATCATTACCATAGTTATTGAAGAAAGTAACTATATAAAAGACTCACATTGCTGGCTAGTTTCTCATAATCCTCCATCAGATGTTCATTCTCCTGATTTACTGCCAGGACTTTGCAGATTCTGTTGGCAGCCGTCTCAGCCTAAAAGGAAAAAAATATTTTTAAAAAGATACATATATACCACAATACTATGCGAAACAAGCTAGATCAACATCTTTTCCAGAAACCTACCACACACAGTCAATCTATATTATTGGATAATTTTATCATCCCATAAGTACCAGGCCCAAAAGCAACTAAATTATTCAGACGGCCCATCTATTCTTTCTGAGATGCCTTGAAGACACAGAACAAACAGGCTGCATGTAGTCAGTTCCTGAAGGTGCGCACTGCATAACATTTGATTTTACTTGTAAAAAAGAGAGCAAATGTGAGCCCCGAGACTGACAAGTGCAATTTTGCAGTTAGTGTAAAAATAAACAGGTTTGTATGAAGCACAATATTTCTGGCCACAACCTTGGTCCCTCTCTTAGGTAAATAAATGTGCAGCCCATCAAACCTCTGTTGTTGTGCAAATAACAGCATAGTGGCACCAAATGCTGTCCATGGAATCGTTTATTCCACAAAAGCATGGACTCCACTGTGTTTGGGTGAGAGGTACACCTTAAATCAAGATACTAAACACGCCTAGGACAGCCATTAAAGTGAAAAGTGATGCTGCTTAGTTACAGTAATACATTTATCTGTGCTGCTTGGAATGGCAACACTAAATGCAATTATTTGGAGAGGTCATAAATGAACCACTTCACTACAACCAGATGTTAAATGTGTTTATACATTATGAGACAAATCGCTTTGTAGTACTGCATTATATTCAGCTGCACATTAAAGACAAGATAAGCACAGAGTCTGGACTGTGGAGCCAGTGCACTGTGTTTTTGCCAAAGGGGTTGGACAGTTAAGCAAGTTACAAGAAGCAGATTTCTGTGTTAAAGGCAATACATTACAGCCAGCTAATTTCTTTCAAAAGACACTACAGCGGGAGAGGGACTGGCAGCCTTGCAAACGCGCCCCTCCTATGGCCCATGATCACAATGCACAAGCTCAGCCTTCTGAAAAAAAAAAAAAAAATTTGACAAAAAAAAAAAAAAAATCTATTAAAAGTATATCTAATGCATATTTAATTTACTTAGTTTTGGATAGGGTTTAGATCCCCTGCCAGGTTTTTGTAATCCAGCTATTGGCTCCCCTAACTAGTGATTGACCTGCTAGCACACAGCATGGAGTTCACAGCTTTCAGGCTTCACTGGCTGCATTCTTGTTTCAGGTCATCGACGACCCACCTGATAAATTCAGGAGTACAGCACAGAGCCTGTACCTTTACAACATGAAAGCTGGAATGGCAGCTGTCCTATGTTCATCTGCACATGTTCCCTTTAATGCAGAATTACAGCCTTACATTCAGCCTTGACCAGTTGGTACAGGTTCCTCTCCTGTAATAAAATTGCTTCCTTCAATTTTACTGCATACTGTGAGCTTCCCACAGTACAGATTAAAAGCTGCAGCCTTTAGCCTGAGCCCACCACACTTCCTGTCTGGGGGACACCCAGCATCATCTAGCACTTTTCCCCCCAGCCTTATTGTTCCTGGCTGGCCTATTTCAAATCCAATGGATTTCAGTTCGTTCAGCATCTCACGTAGGCATTACCTAGGGCAGTTTGCATGCAAAACGCAGCCTACCCAGGGAAGCCCACTCCTCCAAACTTACATCCACCCATCAAGGCATTGTGATAACTACTTCAAAGAGGGAGCCCACTGCTTGCATCAGGACTGAGGGCTCTTGAGAGGAGTACTGAGGCAGAGTTCGGTGATGTTGTCAGGAAGCTATGTACACATCCTGCCAACCTCTCCCACAAGGTAAGATCTACAATGCATAGAAAAGCACAAAGACCCAGTGCTGAGATTATTTGGTCTTAAATGAGGTATTTAGTGATAATGGAAGGGCTTGATAAGAAAATGTTTTATGTTGAGAGGGGAAAAAGAAGAAACCACAACAATGTATGCAGACTGAACAGCTTGATGATTATAACTAAATCCCCTTGTTGTGGCTTACATACAGATGTACAGTGTGGATCAAAAGTTTGGGCACCCCAGCTAAAAATTTGTATTAATGTGCATAAAGAAGCCAAGGAAAGATGGAAAAATCTCCAAAAGGCATCAAATTACAGATTAGATATTCTTATAATATGTCAACAAAAGTTAGATTTTATTTCCATCATTTACACTTTCAAAATAACAGAAAACAAAAAAATGGCGTCTGCAAAAGTTTGGGCACCCTGCAGAGTTAATATCTTGTACTGCCCCCTTTGGCAAGTATCACAGCTTGTAAACGCTTTTTGTAGCCAGCCAAGAGTCTTTCAATTCTTGTTTGAGGTATCTTTGCCCATTCTTCCTTACAAAAGTCTTCCAGTTCTTTGAGATTTCTGGGCTGTCTGTCACGCACTGCTCTTTTAAGGTCTATCCATAGATTTTCAATTATGTTGAGGTCAGGAGATTGTGAAGGCCATGGCAAAACCTTCCGTTTACGCCTCTTGATGTAATCCCCCGTGGATTTCGAGGTGTGTTTAGGATCATTATCCATTTGTAGAAGCCATCCTCTCTTTAACTTCAGCTTTTTCACAGATGGCATCAAGTTACCATCCAAATTTTGCTGAAATTTTATTGAATCCATTTTTCCTTCTACTCGTGAGATGTTCCCTGTGCCACTGGCTGCAACACAACCCCAAAGTATGATTGATCCAACCCCATGCTTAACAGTTGGACAGAGGTTCTTTTCATTGAATTCTGTGCCCCTTCTCCAAACGTACCTTTGCTCATTCCGGCCAAAAAGTTCAATTTTAACCTCATCGGTCCACAGAACTTGTTTCCAAAATGCATCAGGCTTGTCTATATGTTCATTTGCAAAGTTCAAACAATGATTTTTGTGGTGAGGACGTAGAAGAGGTTTTCTTCTGATGACTCTTCCATGAAGACCATATTTGTACAAGTATCTCTTTATAGTGGAATAGTGTACCACAACTCCAGTGTCTGCCAGATCTTTCTGGAGGGATCGTGCAGTCAAACGTGGGTTTTGAATTGTTTTTCTAACAATCCTGCGAGCTGTTCTGTCTGATATTTTTCTTGGTCTTCCAGATGTTGCTTTAACTTCCACTGTTCCTGATGACTGCCATTTCTTAATTACATTCCGAACAGAGGATATTGACGCTTTGCTATCTTCTTATAGCCTTCTCCAGCTTTGTGAGCGTCAACTATTTTCAGTTTTCTAGACAACTGCTTAGAAGAACCCATGGTGCTGATTGTTGGGACAAGGTCAGATGAGTCTGGGCATTTAAAACCTTTGAGATTGACATCACCTGGTCTTCCCAGACGATGATTGAGAACAATCCATGACACTGGCAGGTCTCAGCTTTGCAAAGGGGGCAGTGCATGCTATAAATTCTACAGGGTGCCCAAACTTTTGCAGACGCCATTTTTTTGTTTTCTGTTATTTTGAAAGTGTAAATGATGGAAATAAAATCTAACTTTTGTTGACATATTATAAGAATGTCTAATCTGTAATTTGATGCTTTTTGGAGATTTTTCCATCTTTCCTTGGCTTCTTTATGCACATTAATACAAATTTTTAGCTGGGGTGCCCAAACTTTCGATCCCCACTGTACATTCACACCATGACTGGGAAATTACTAGCTTTGCTTACATGGCAGAAAAACATGTGGCAACTGATCTGGTAGTGAGCCATTGGAAAAGTAGTCATGGGTCAAACAGGTTTGGTTTTTGCTACCAATAGCCAAATCTTAGAAAGACTGCATCTCCTAGATTGTAAGCTCGAAAGAGCAGGGCCCTCAATCCCCTCATGTTTTGCATTGTATTGGTATTGTTCTGTCACCCTTTGTAATGTACAGCGCTGAGCGAACTATTGGCGCTTTATAAATACTGTATAATATAATAATAATAATAATCCAATCCTCCATTGGGAATAATTATATGTACAGGTACCATATAGAGCAGAGACAGATTGCTACACTGGGCCTGGACACTTACGGGTCAATTTAGAATGGAGAGTGGATACCAATATTGACATACACTGAAAGGTAACAAATATTTTGCAATAAAAAAAGGTTAAAACTGCAACAAACATGTTAGGTGCTAGAAGACCACAATGCATAACGTGACATACAGGTCCAGAGTGTGTCAAACCAAGGCAGAAACAAAATGTGTACAGAATCAGACAGGACAGGCTAAAAACCCAGCATGAGAGACCAGCAGAAGCAGCTCACCTTCTGAGCCCCAGAGAAAGCGTGGTAGAAGCAGGAAACGTAGGTCATAATGGCCTTCTCATCAGGCCTGAGAGTGCCCACAATATCTGTGCAGAGAAGAAAGAGAAAGGACAAGTGCAGAGTGAGGAGGTGCAGACCCAGCCTGGGACCTAATGAGGGGCCTTTCCTGTCCCAGATCTGCACCTCTCTGCCCTCAGTCTGTGTCAGGAATGGCTGTGTGAGCTGCAGGGCTCATTGTGTTTCCTCGCACCAGGTTCTGGGAACAGTGAGAAATTCCTGACACAAAGCAAGGCGACAGCATGCCGCGAATCTGCAAGACAAGCTGGAAATTAGGCATGCGGAAAATAAAGAGAGGAGACAGGTGGGGGCACTTTGGCCGCCCCAGACGCTACCTTCTGGGCTCCTGAGAAGGCGTGGTAGAATGAGGACACGTATGTCATGATTGCCTTCTCATCAGGACGAGCAGTGCTGACAATGTCTGGAAATGAAGGGAATAGGTTAAGACACAGCAAAACAAAAATGGCTGAACTCTTGGACGTCTTTTCACTCGAAGAAAAAAAAAAATGGCTATAGCAAAATCTGGGACTCCAGAGTGAAACATGAGGACTTTCAAGGGAAAATTAAGCTTTTATCAGCAAAAAAATTACATACTTTTAAATTAATTTTGAGGGCAAAGGATCCCAGGTGTCAATGTGCCTGAAAGAACTGCCATGAGCTCCCACCATTCATTAATATAAGCTTTTTCCTTAATGTGGTTGTAAACCTCAGACATGAAATATGAAAAAAGCATATCCCTGTATAGTGTCTCAATCCAGAGCACTAAGTGCCATTTCTGTCTGCTGCTTCGTTCCCCTGCTATCTGCACAAGTCCCTTCTGCCAAGTTTTCCTGACATCTCTCTGTATTACCGGAGGCCAGTCAGTATAGGGCTTACAACCACTTTAATGTACCATGTCATGACATCTGGGGGGGGGGGGGGGGGGGGGGGGGGGGGGGACATGCCTGAATGGGCAAGACCTTGACAGTCTAAATTCAGTGGCAGAAATACTAGCCAATTCACCCACAGGCACCTTATAAACTGTGGTGAAAAAGTCAGCACTGAAACTCACAGCATCCGTTTGCTGCACCAATACACCTGCAACTCAATGCATGGCGCTTCAATGCGTGCATGGAAATAACCGATACACATTTGTAAAGTGCTGTGGGTTCATTAAGAAGCCCTACTGTAGCTCCCATACAACCATCAGTGAGATGTAGTTCCTAGACAAAACTCAGAATTCTAGCTCCATGGACCCACATTGGTGAATGGGCACATTAAATGCAGAAACTGCAGCTCACCTTCAGCGTCCAACATTTTGGGGATATCCAAGTACTTCTCCGCCACCTCAAAGGCAGTGTTCAAGTTAGTCACTGGGTCATCCTAAAAATATCATAAAGTGACAGGGTTAAAGTATGTGAAAAATATATACTATGAATGTTTAATTACATACAGAATAGTTGGTTTACCTTTCTCAGTTTATCATATTCTATAAGCTCTGGTCGGTGTCTGTGAATCAAGGCATTAAAAGCCAGGCCATCCTTCCAGCTGGGGAGAGAGAAAATAATCTTCCTGAATGAATCTAACCAAGTATCAGTGAAAGGAAAAACTTACTAATGTTCAGTTTTGCTACAGATTCAATGTGATTATGAACACCAACTGGAGGATATACCATGTGGCCACAGAGTACAAAAAAGTCTGAATGGCAGTGCAATGCAGTTGGTTTTTCTCATGAACGAAGATTAATTTAATTCAGTAAAAATAGATTTAGATTTTGTCTACATAAAAGCAAACAGAAGAAGCCATTTTTTCCATTATTAGAAAACTGTGTTAGTGCCTCCCTGATTTAGTTTCACATTGCTACCTGAGTGTGACTTTCCCTGATTTGATTACTTAGCTTTAACAACTACCATCCACCTGCCAATAGAGTTCCCTTACTGGCCACTGAGCAGTGTAAGTTGTCAAGGAAGACAGCAAATGTCAATATACAATTCCACTGAGGCTGTGGGAGGGCATTCACACACATATATACCTAGGGAGCAGCTACAGTATATACACTGGACATACCAGAGTAACGTGATGTACTTCCTTTAGCATATGCAGTAGCAGCAAAACAAATCTGCAGTTGTTAATATTGTCAGAATGCAAATATGCCTGTCAGACAGCACACATTGACTAAATTTGGGAAGGAATTCTTTCCCTGTTCCTCAGGCAATGTACTGTAGCACTGAGCCAGCCTGCTGTATGAATGAGAAAAAAAAAAAAAAAAAAAAAAAAAAAAAAACCACACAACAATGCATTGGCTCAGTGGTTACGAAGCCTACTTTTGGATTTTTTTTGTTCAGTTCCTAACTAGGCTCTGGCATATGTGAGGAATAAAACAAATGTCACAGACATCTAGGATCCATTGTCCATTACTACTGGCAGGAGGAAAGCATTCCAGATAAATACATGTGTTGCACCCTACAGTGACATCACTAGATTGATCTGAAAATATTTCCTAAAATTGTTTGCAGCATGTAAGTGGTGGGCACTTTTTAACTATTGGTCATAAAAGACAAAAGAACATCACCTTACATTCAAGAAAGTAGTGTAGAGCAATTAATGAGGTTTGCTTGGTGCCTATTACATACATGTAGATGCATACATACATACGAGGGCCTTTCAAATGTGATGCCTGTGCACGTGGCAAAGCAAAAGCAGCTTATGCCAAACGTGACACTTTACCTTATGTGGAAGTTCTGTACATTGACATTCTTGTAAGGCGCAGTCTTTCTCTGACACCACAGTAATAATCCTTCCTTTGCAGATGTTTCTGTGGAGACAAAAAAGAGGAACTTTATCACGAGACAGAAATGTTGGGGAATTAGAAAACAGGCAGAGAAACCACAGTCACAGCACATACCTTCCACAGAGATGTCCTGAATTGCAAACCGCAGAATGATGGTCCAAATCATACCCAGTGTCATCTTAGCATTGCCATCAACAATTTCTAAAAGAGAAAACACAACAATTTAACAGGGACCCAATCAAAATCCGCTGTTTGCAGCTGTCCTAATATGCTATTCACACACATTCTTATAATTGGGTGATTTGTAGGATCACCCCAAGAAGAAAAAATAAATAAATAAAAATGGGGAAATCAATTCGGAAGCATCTGCCAAAAGGTTAAAAGTTTTTAGAACACAGAATCCTTTATATTGGGGGTCGCAGACTGGTACTAGTCCTTGCCCTGTTTATGACCAGGCCACACAGCGGGAAGTGAGCGGTGACCGCGGACCAGACCGGGCAATCACAGACCGCCGATCGCTACTCACCACCCGCTGTTCGGCCATGCCTGTGTCTCCTCTCCCCGCTCTAGATATAGATCTGCACAGAGAGCAGGAGAATTCTCATTAACAAGTGGGCAGATCTGCAGCTTCTGCTGCCGCCTGGTCTCTGCTGACAGGATCACATCGTCAGGAGAGGAGAGGAGACAGGCTGAATCTTGCCTCTGCCCTGCTAAAAGGTAGGACTGTGCAGAGGAGGCAGAGACTGAAAGGTGACAAAAGAGGAGGGATGTCATGACTGCAAGGGGCACAGTGTTTGCAGGTGAGGATAGGGGTTTGTATGCTGTGATTGCTAGGGGCACTGTAATGTAAAGGGGCACAGTGTTGTCCCTTTCACATCACAGCCCCCTTCCTAGTGCAGTCCACGTTACATTAATGTAAAGGGGACTGTGCTGTAAAGGGGGGCTGTGATGTGAAAGGGAACGGTGGACACTGTGGGACGGCTTTAAAAGGGGGAACTGTGAGGGAAAGGGGGGGACTGCGGACACTAATATAAAAGAGGGGACTGAGGACACAGTCACATAAAATTGCTGCAATGAAGATTGATAACTGAGCGTTAAAGCAGTAGTAATTACGGATTGGTGACTTGTACCTACAGGTAAGTATATAATAAAGATTACTGGAAGGTACAATCAATATCTCCTAAATGTGCAAAGTCTAGGAGATATTCACTATATCTGCAGCCAGTGACGCCACTGGCGCATTACACAGGAGGGACAGCATACTGAGCATGCCATCCCTGCAAAGCACTGTGCCCTGACAATGGCTCCACCTGTATGCGTGGAAGTGACATCCTCACGGCTCAGCCATTCGCACGTCTAGAGCCTGCAAACCCAGGAGGAAGACAGGGTGAAGATGGAAGCCCTGTCAGCAGTGATATCATGACACTGGACAGCTTAGTTTTAAGGCAAGTATTTCATAATGTACTAGTATGAGATCCATACTGCACAGTATGCTCTTAACTTGCAGGGAGAAGGTTTTATTTTCTTTGCAGACTTTTCTACCGATTTAAATTTAGAAATATTTAGATATGAGGAAGAGGGGAAAGGGGAAGGAAAGGAAGAAAGAAAAAAAGGTTAAGTTTAAAAGTATGGTTAGCCTCTTTCCAGTTTTGAAGTGAACACAGGGCAAAGCAACAGGCTAATTTTTATTTTTCCCCACTCTGGTTTCCCATTGTTACTGGGGACTGAAACCATCAGTGACAAACCAATTTGATAGCCAACAGCCACGCCAGTGGGATATAATCTATGGGTGCAGGATGTTCACTGTACACGTCTCCTGTAGCTCAGCTCTCAGGCATGTCATGTGTCACACCCTCTGCCTCCTGAACATACTGCCCACCGCCATACACTCCGCCCACCGCCATACACCCCGCGCCCCTCTCCCTGCAATGCTACCCACCGCCATACACCCCGCGCCCCTCTCCCTGCACATGCTACCCTCCGCCATACACCCCGCGCCCCTCTCCCTGCACATGCTACCCTCCGCCATACACCCCGCGCCCCTCTCCCTGCACATGCTACCCACCGCCATACACCCCGCGCCCCTCTCCCTGCACATGCTACCCACACCGCCATACACCCCGCCATGCTACCCCCACCCCGCCCCTCTCCCTGCACATGCTACCTACCGCCATACACCCCGCGCCCCTCTCCCTGCACATTTACCCACCGCCATACACCCCGCGCCCCTCTCCTGCACTACACACCGCCATACACCCCGCGCCCCTCTCCCTGCACATGCTACCCACCGCCCATACACCCCGCGCCCTCTCCCTGCACATGCTACCCTCCGCCATACACCCCGCGCCCCTCTCCCTGCACATGCTACCCACCGCCATACACCCCGCGCCCCTCTCCCTGCGCACTTCCGCCATACATTCCCTATTTAATGCATACTACCACATTCTGCACTGTAACTCATCTCAGACTCTATTTCCTGCAACCACACGGCCTGTAAGGCACATACCCCTATTTAATAGCGCACATTTGCAATCACTCAGACACTTTTAACACATCCCAAGGCACAACCAATACAGCGCAATTTGAATCACCGCCACTTTTACACACACACACCCCACTGGGAGCAAAAGCAAGGCCTGTGTTAGCAACAAGTCACTGCATTTGAAGCCCACAAAGGGCTATGGAGTCCCCTGTGACAATGCTGATCAGCTTCACGCTGCCGCATGGCCATATACCTGGAAGTATCAGAATTTATTTTTTTCTCAACACAGAATGTAGCAGGCAGGAAGGAAAGGGGAGCTGAGTATTTTATTGGAGGGTTAAACAACACTTTGCCCTGAATAAGCAACGCTCAGGCAAGCTTTAGGATAACAGTGGCTGGCCTCATGTCTCTTAGCTCAAGTTACCCTATAAAAGACTGTGGAATATTTGATTGCACTCTGTATCCCATAATAAAAGTTGAGCCAGATAGTGAAGGTCAGTCTAGCTCTGTGCTGGAGTTAATCTTCTAATACAAATATCAGCTACAGTATATGTCGTAATACAGCTCCATGAACTGGTGATGGATTCTAAGAAAACTAGCAGGGGAGCGTATAGTAAGTGATGAACTGATACATTTTTAGAGCCAGGTATACAGTATAATTATTATTATACAGGATTTATATAGCGCCAACAGTTTGCTCAGCGCTTTACAATATAAAGGGAGACAATACAGCAACAATACAGTTCAATACAAGAGGGATAGGAGGGCCCTGCTCCATGGAGCTTACAATCTAGGAGGGAGGGGTTAGTGGTACAAAAGGTAATAACTGTGGGGGATGGACTGGTGGGAAGAGTAGAAGATTGCATTATTAGCTGAGGGCAGGATAGGCTTCCCTGAAGAGATAGGTTTTCAGAGATCGCCTAAAAGTGAGCGGAGTAGGCGATAGTCTGATAAATTGGGTAGAGAGTTCCAGAGGATGGGGGAAGCTCTGGAGAAGTCCTGGAGACGAGCATGGGAGGAGGAGACAAGGGAGCTAGAGAGCAGGAGGTCCTGTGAGGAGTGGAGAGTACAGTTTGGGTGATATTTGGAGACAAGATTGCTGATGTAATTTGGGGCAGAGTTATAAATGGCTTTATATGTTATTGTTAATGTTTTGAATTTTTTCCGTTGGGCAATGGGAAGCCAGTGGAGGGAATGGCAAAGAGGGGTGGCTGATACAGAATGGTTAGTAAGGTGGATGAGTCTGGCAGCAGCATTCATGATAGACTGAAGAGGGGATAGCCTGCGATGAGGTAGGCCAGTGTTTCTCAACTCCAGTCCTCATGGACCCCCAACAGGTCATGTTTTCAGGATTTCCCTCAGATGAAACAGCTGTGGTAATTACTAAGGCAGTGAAACTGATCAAATCACCTGTGCAAAATAATGGAAATCCTGAAAACATGACCTGTTGGGGGTCCATGAGGACTGGAGTTGAGAAACACTGAGGTAGGCCAATGAGGAGGGAGTTACAATAGTCAAGGCGAGATATAACCAGGGAGTGAATAAGTTTCCGAGGTTAAGAATGGTCGTATCTTGGAGATGTTGTGGAGGTGAAGTCTACATGATTTGGACGGCAATTGGATTTGGGGCTGAAAGGACAGATGGGAGTCTAGGGTTAATGCATGCAAACCCTTACAACTGACATCTAAATGATTTTGGAAGCATATTGCCTACTTCTGTTTCTCTACTGGCTTCTAGACTGGACCGCCTGTCTCAAACAATTTTCCTGTTGCGTGCCAAAATCTTTAAAATCTGTAAACCCCCATTAATGGATGACAAACTTATGAGAATGAGGATGCAAGGAAGTTATTTTAAAGAAACAGTGCCTTTATTGTTAGAGGTCATGACTTCAGAAAAGTACCTTCAGCTCCAATAGAGACCAGCTTCACTCCTTTACTTGCAATGAAGTCCAAAGCTTTGTTAACATTATTAATTTTATGGACCCTCATTTTTCCTCTTTCCGGTTTCGGAAGTCTTTCCCCTGAAAGAAACATATCAAAATCAGCACAATCCTTCCAGAATGATTTTCAAATGATCTAAGCCCTGCCGGCTGCTTCTCTCACAGGATGGGTGCCATAAAGAGCTCTTTCTGGCTCACACACATGCCCACAAAAGAATCAGCCACAAGTCCAAGAGGGGAAAAAAAAAAAAAAAAAGGGAAGCCTTCTGCACATGGTGTACAAATCATACCCACTGCCCTGACTCCACCTTCTATTACTATCAACTGTAATGGGCATAACCTTTAAGATTTGGTTTGTTGTATTTACTGGAGCCTGGCCATTTCATCTGTGGACAAGGCTTAAATCTAAAGTCTGAATAAACAGATATACAAATCATTTGGCATGCAAAAGAGCTCCCAAATTTCTATTTTATCTGTGTATTTAGCAGTTTGCCTTGATTTTAGATCTAATGATTCTGTGAGTTCTACAAGATCTCCCTTCTGTACAGCACATTTGGCAGCAGTGGTTGTTGAAGTTTCAGCCTTTTGACTAGGCAAACAAAGGTTTTTGGAATTCAACTGGTTGGCCTTGAATGACGTAATCATCATTATATTCCCAAAATGTGTCAATCTAGTATGTACAGTTTCAGTATCTATTGGCAAAATGCTCAAAAGCAGGTTCCAAGGACCCAGCAAGGAAACATGTTTGGAGCTCACCTGAAATGACTTCCAGAAGTAACATGAGCTTCAACCCATCTCTGAAATCCTCATCGATGTTCTCGATCTGAGTGCCAGCTTTCCTCAGGTGGGAATTACACCAAGCTGTGAAAGTCTGTGGGAAGAAGAAGAAGGAGGTCAATCAAGGGTTCAACTTTAAAACAAAAATTGCAAGCTTTTCAGCACTTCTTTCATGCAGTGACTGTTTATCAAAGTTAGTAGTTGTTGCATTTGTGGTAGACACCACTGGTGAAGTCTTTGATTAAGTTGTAATTTCAGTTTTGTATAAAAGGAAAAGAGCTGGAACCCTTTAGATCTCCATCCATGTTTATGTAGAGGGACATTTCCCTAACTTCTGGTCATAATGAGTGTGGTCATTGAACAGGTGAAGGCAAACCTTTCAGATGTGAACTTGAGTAAGAGGTTCGCAGTCTTCACCACTCTATCCAGACTGAATAAAAAGTTGAGGGCTTTGAGGTCTATTTTGCTTATTAGAAATGAAAGAACGGTTTCCTATTGATCACTGACTGCTTGTGGTTGATATGTAGCTAGACTACCAAGCACAGTTACTGCAGCCCTCACCGATAAGACATGACAAGCTGTTCCCAGTATGCAATCCAAAATAACCAATACAACTGCTGCTGGCATACCTAGCATAAAGTCATGAGGGTCAAGGTTTAAAGCTGAACTCCAGATAGAAGAAAACACACACACTTATATACATAACAGGATGCTGAATATATTTTCAAATGCAAGAGACATCAGTAAATTGATTTGTCTGTATGTTGGCATTCTGTAATCACCTGGGCAGTAAGACTGAGAAGGGGGGGGGGTAACACTAGAAATCAGGCTTCACTGAACAGCACATGCCAAAACAAGGAGGGGTCCCTTTAAGATCCAGAAGAGCTCTTATGTCAAAGCAATGACCCTGAAGTGGACCAGGCAGCAAGGGTTAACTTGTGGCACTGGATTAGCAGTCCCCGCAGGGGGTTACAACAAGGCGTGCCCTGGAAAAACAAGGAACTAAAGGTGAGTATAACTGGCTTTACCAGGTAAGGAAAATGTTACACCAGGTGAAATAGTTTAGAAAGGGGTGGGTAAAAAAACAAAACAAAACAATTTAAGAGGAGCGGAGTGAAAGTGGAGTTGGCATTTCATTGTGAGTGATTTAAACCATTAACCCAATTGTTGTCAAAATGCAAATGACACCATTATACTCTGAATGACAAACAGTACAGAGCAGCATATCTGAAAGTGCAATCTTAACACAAAAGGATAAATATATACTTAAAGCAGAGCTCCACCCAAAAGGGGAAGTTCTGCTTTAGGCCTTTGTCCCCTGCTCCCCATTAAGGATTGGCACCTTTGGGGAGCGAGCGGATACCCAAAGTTGCCTATGCGATCGAAAGCGGAAGTTGTCCTCCCCCCTCCCTCCCCATAGTCTTCTGGGACATGTGACAGGTGCCAGAAGACAATGGGGCCATTCACAAAGTGCAGTGCTTCTTGTGCATGCGCAGTAGGCACCCGGCTGTGAAGTTGCAAACTGTCACAGCCAGGTGCCCACACTGAAGATACCGGTGCCAGGGAGAGAAGACGACTGGTGGTGAAGACACTGCTGGACCGAGGGACAGGTGAGTGGCTATATTTTAAAAGTCAGCAGCTACAGTTTTTGTAGCTGCTGACTTATTTTTTCAGGTGGAACTCCACTTTAAGTCACATATTACCTACATAAGACAGGTGCTAGAAGACTACGCGACCATTCACAATGCACAGTGATGGTCACACATATACGCAGTGGGCACCTGGCTGTGAAGCCGCAAGCTGTCACAGCCAGGTGCCCACAGTTAAGATGCCGGGGACAGAGGACGGCCAGTGAATCTGGCTGTGATGAGCACACTGCTGGATCAAGACACAGGTGAGTGGTTGTTTCTTAAAGATCAGCAGCTACAGTTTTTGTACCTGCGGACTTATTTTTTTTCACTGGAGACTGGAACTCCGCTTTAAGGTACATGAATATCTATGTGTGCTTAGTTTAAATGCAGCCTAAAGATCAATATGATTGGTGGACATTTGAGGCTCACCTTTTCTAAAACGTACACGGAATAGCAAAGCCTTCCAGACAGACATGGATGTGGCTAATAGATAGCTTGCCGTCCATCCTTTCACGGATATTCAGCAAACGTCACAGACAGCAAAATTTAAAAGGATTTTAAATTAAAGGGACACAGCATCCAATTTGTGCTCCTTCCAAGCCTATTTCATTAGCTGCATGACTGTACGGATACAAAACTAAAGCCCAATTTCAGCATTTCCCCCGCTCACTTCCTTCTCCCCAGGCAATGTATGTATGTATATTTTTTTACACCTGATACAATGAAGCCGGCTACTCAGTGACATCCATTGGAACAATTCTTTAATGGCTACATAGCAGGATACAGTAATAACACACTAACGTGTTTCAGCCGAAACCTTACTCATAGCATGATTGCGCCTCCTGGAAGGGAGGTCTATAGTACCCTGCACTCACAGGGAGTGCAGGAGGTTATGAAGACAGAGGAGATCTAGTGGCAGAAGGAAATTACTGCAAAAGGCAGTATTAGAGAGGAGGCAAGTAATGTAGCCAG